TATATATATAAATAAAGTCTTGCATGCTTAACAGTACTGGTGAAGAAAATGGGAAGTGAAAGTGTTGCCTGGATGATTCCAAGCTTTGATCTTTCCCACAGGCTAAGCAACCGAAGTGAAGACAAAAATGGCAACTCGGATAACCCAACGAGTGAACCCTCCCCAACCCCTCAGAACATTTCCCTGGACAGGCGACGGTCGTCCACTGATACCTCCCATTCCGCTTACAGCCTTACAAGACGAATTTCTAGTAAGTTGGCTGGTGCTCAGAGGACTTGGACAACCCCTGAACGCCATGTTGGCAGATAGGGTGGGTGGAGCTTGATGGAAGAGGAGGAGGAGCTTAGTTATCCTGATAATAAAATAGGTCTGTTCAAGTACCTTCACGGAACACATTTAACCAGGACAAGAGAAAACCCAGGTGATAGGGAGTATCACAGCTAGCGCAGTTGGGCTTGGGCAAATCTGGATGTCATGCCCTTGGTAGAGTCGGACTCTGAGGGAGAGGAGGAACAGCTGAGGGGGAGTGGAGGTGTGGCTCCGGAGGTTGTGGAGGAGGCTGGGGAAGGGCAGAGGCCAGCTGGGCAGTCAGAGGAAGAACAAGGCCCATCTTCTCTGCATCCTAGGGCACGCAGGGAGGAACGGAGAAGGGAACAACTTGGCTTACGAGAGAGGAAGCGGCCATGAGCTCCCTCATTGGTTGCAGCTGGGGAGAATAGTGTATAAGAGAGACAGTTAAAACACAGCATTGCCAGAAGCAAAATGTGTTTTATTTTGGGCTGAAGTTATCTTGGTTGGTGTCCTTCCAACAGACTGTGCCTTGTTATCTCCTTGAAGTTGGTAATTACTTACCCTGGTCCGTTGTGGAAATTGTTTTGGTTTTTTATTTCGCCTCTACCTGCTCATTAAGTTCGGACTGTATTGCTTTCTTTTGAAGACTATTTTTGAGTACGTTTTATCTCCAACTGAGAATTATTGAACAGTGGGGCCAAGTTGGAGGCATTAAAGGACATTTATTTACATTTTGGATTTTGTTATGTTTATGTTACACTCCGGGTCATCACACTGGGTTTCCGTGACTTTGGGTTATAGGAATCCAGCCAATTTATCATTCAATGAATCCTGCAAATACAAATAACCCAGGAAGCAGATTAAACATGAATGTTCTCTCCAATCTCCATTTGCTTTCTCAACTTTCTCCCATGCCTGCCCATAGTTTTTAAAATCACACTTTCTCCCTGTCTTAGACACATGCACATACATTCTGGAAAAAAAGGGATGTACAACTGTGTGACTAATTTAACAACTGGATTCACTTAGCAACAGCGGCAAGAAATACTGTAAAATAAGGCAAAGTTCTGTTACCTGTCTTGCTTAACAATGGACATTTGGGGCTGAATGGATGTAAGTTGAGAACTACCTTTATGTATGTGTGTACACACACCAGTGGTGGGATTCAGATTTTTTACTACCGGTTCTGTGGGCGTGGCTAGGTGGGCGTGGCCATGTGACTGAGTGGGTGTGGCTTTTTTTTTTTTGCTTTTTTGCAGCCACCCCCCACCTGTTTTTTTTGCCCTCCTGGGCCTCAGCAAGGGGAATCCCAACACAGCTGATCGTATGAACAGTTGATTGTTGGGAGGGGAAAAAAAAAATACCTTAACGGGCGAGCGTCAGGCAGGCGGGGTGAGCAAGCATCGGGTGGGCGGGGCAAGCAAGCCAGCGGCAACCGGCCAACTGGGTCCGGGACGTGGCCAGCCAGAACTTACTACCAGTTCAGCGACCCACGCCAGATCCTTGCTACCGGTTCACTCAAACCGGTGCGAAGCAGCTGAATACCAACACACACACACGCACACACACACCCCTACCCCTCTTACATACCAAATTCTTCCCTTTTATCAGGGCAAAAGACCTGCACAGACATGTCACCTGGAGCTCAACTGAACCCAAAGCATTTTTTTCCCCCTTTTGACAACTGCTCGCTGTGAACTTTCTACCATTTTTTTAAAAAATCCTGTTTTTTCCTCCCTCTCCTCCAGGCCTGGAGCTGAGGAGGCCAAGTTCTCCCCTCGTTGACCTTAAGCCCATCGAGTTTGGAATGCTAGGCTCCAAAAAGGAGATTGTCCAGCCGGGCGTCCTGAAGAAAACCTACACGCCAGATGACTATTTTAGGAAATTTGAGCCCAGACTCTATTCCCTCGATTCAAATAGCGACGACGTGGAGTCGTTGACCGACGAAGAGATCGTCGCCAAGTACCAACTGGGGATGCTGCATTTTAGCACTCAGTACGACCTCTTGCACAACTATCTCATTGTTCGGGTCATCGAAGCCAAGGACCTGCCTCTCCCCATCTCCTACGATGGCGCCAGGCAAGACATGGCCCACTCCAATCCCTACGTGAAGATCTGCCTCCTTCCCGACCAGAAAAACTCCAAGCAGACGGGGGTCAAACGCAAAACCCAGAAGCCCATCTTCGAGGAGAGGTACATGTTTGACATC